GGAAAACTGTCTGTGACACACACTTTGGTCCAAATGCTACTGATGTGGTGTGCAGGGAGTTGCAGTGCAGCACGGCCCTGTCCGTGACTGAGGGAGCTCACTATGGTGAAGAAGTTGGTCCCATGTGGGACGGAGAGCTGCAGTGTGTGGGGAATGAATCCTTCCTCGCCTCCTGCCCCTGGGGATCCCGCAGGGACCAGTTCTGCACCCACGCAAACAGCGCTGTTGTCTCCTGCACAGGTAAGGACTCAGGAAGGAGTGTTGAACCCTGGAGCTCTGCAGGAGGTGAAGGAGCAGAGCAGGGACCCTGCTGATCTGGGTGTGAGGACAGGAGGGGTGATGGGATTATCTGCAACCTCCAGTGATGCAGGAATAGACACAGATGCCAGTGCCCTCCTTCTGCCCATCCTCAAGAATTTGGTGCACACTGCAGAAAGTTTCAGGATTGTCACTGCAGCTGTTCCTCTGGCTGCAGCTGTGCAGGGATAAATGTCTGCAGGTAGGCAGGTAGGCAGGTAGGTTACACCTGTGGAGGCAAGGGGACTGGGGTGTTCATTCCCATAGGCCGGCAGAGAAGTCGCCTTCCTGGTGGAGCCTGGACAAGGGCAAGGCTGGGCTGATGCCCAAAGACAAAGAGGTAGCATGTGTTTGAAGGGCTCACTGGGAAGATCGAGCTGATCCATAGGGGACATAGGAAGGCCTGAGGGTGGAGGATGTGTTGAGAGTAGCCCAGGACAGGCTGAGGTCCAGGGGAGCTGAGGCCCCTTGGAAGAAGCTGAAGTCTGTGTCTGGGGGGACCTGGAGGGATGATAAGTTCTCTTCTCAGAGTGCTGAACTGGGAAGGAGCAGGGATCCTGGGTGGGCATTGGCTGAGGTCAGGGTGCAGGAGGTTGTTTGGGTTAAAGGAGGTGCCAAAGTCTGTAAGTGATCCACAGGTGACCCACAAGGGCTGGAACTTGGAACCTCCAGCCTTACATAGCACACAGAGTTAGAAGGGACCCCTGCACTGCCCTGGGGACAGCCCAGAGGGGAGTGGGCTCCCACCCTGGCACCTCTGACTGTACCTGGGCAGGGGCTCCCCTAGACTCAGTGCTGGGAGTTGGCACTGTCCTGACTGGTCCTGTGTCAGCCTTTGAAGGTGCTGCGGAGGTGAGGCTGATGGATGGTGGAACACGCTGTGCTGGCAGAGTGGAAGTGAAACACCACGGCAAGTGGGGGACCGTGTGTGGTGACTACTGGGACATGCACGATGTTGCAGTGGTTTGTAAGCAGCTGGGCTGTGGCTCTGCTGTTAGCGCTCTTCAGTACGGACACTTTGGGCCAGGATCTGGTCCCATTTGGATGGATGATGTTGGCTGTAATGGAACCGAGTCTGCCCTGTCTGACTGCACACACGGAGGATGGGGTGAACATGACTGTGATCATAATTTGGATGCTGGAGTGATCTGTTCAGGTAAGGTGACAGTCTATTGCCCACCTGTGTGGCTGGGACGGTAGAAGGGACCTGACTGTGCCCTCAGGCAGCAACAAGCCATTGCCAGAGCAGGGCCTGGTGTGGCTGGCTGAACTGCTGAGTTGAGACTGTCATTGTTGACCTCTGTCAACTGTCCTCAGTACCTGGGGAAAGCCCAGTGGGAACCTTCCCCAGGGTGTCCATACCCTGCCTGGCCCCTGGCATGGCTCCAATGAATCCCCCTGCCTGTCCCTGGGACATCTGTTGGTTCCCATCTTTCTACTCCCTTTCACCCAGGACCTGTCTGGCAGCACCAAGGGCCAGGTTCTGCCATGGCAGAGGCCCCAGGAGTGACTCATGCAGACACTCACAGTCTTGGGCAAGGCTGTGAGATGGACAGAGAATTTTGGGCTGTTTCCCTTAGCAGACACAAGTCCCTTGGCCCGAGCAAAGACGTTGCTTGGAAAGGAGGAACGCTGACCTTTGGCCAAGGAGCAGGGTGGCACATGGCACCTTGTTCCTCTCCCAGGGTCACCCCATGAGAGCCTGCCCAGCTTCTCACATCTGTCCCAGCTGCCTTGCACTTTTGGGTTTGCCAGTGCATATTGGCTCTCCTTTGTCCCTGCCCTTACACTGGGAGCTCGTGTCAGCCCAGGGCTGCTCTTCTGTCCACTCTTCTGCCCTCTGCCTGGCCACTGGCAAGGAACATGTGCACCCAGCACTGCACTCTGGCCATGGCTGAGGACCTCTTTCCCAGGTAGGCACTGGAGCAAGGAGGATGGCACAGATACTGACCACAGGTACAGATCTACCATGATTTTGCCCTGTGATATGTCCCATCTACCAACAGCATCCCAATGGCCCAAGACCCTCTGGGAAAAAGGTGTGCACCAAGGAGTTCCTCATGCCTGGCCCTGAGCTCATGAGGGCAGAACAGAGTGCCGCAGCCATCAGCGCCTGGGCCCATTTCCCTGGAGTCAGAGTGCTCTGGGTGCTGCAGTGCCCAGCCACAAGTGCTGGGCAGCCCAAGGTCTCTGGGGCAGCAGCAGTTTGTCCAAGCAGTGCTTATGGCTGTGGGTTTGGGAAAGAAGCAAGCCCACAAGTGCTGTTCTGATTTCTAAGGAGCAGCAGGGGGTTCCTGATGTGTCTGTGCCATCAACACTCCCTGAGAGCAGCTAGGGTGGTTTTTAGGCTTTTTGGCTATGGCCATCCAGGAAATGAGGTGAGACATGGCCAGGGACTGCCAGAGGCCTGTGGGAATTCTCAGGGGTCTTTTGTTGGTGCAGAATCTGTCCTGCTGGTCTGAGGGAACAGCCTCTGCTAAGGACACATAGCAATGCACGACGGGGACCCTTGGAAAACCATCTTTGACTCACTCTTTGCTCCCAAGAGCACTGACACGGTCTGAAGAGTCTGCAATAGATAGAAAGCCTTGACAGCTGTGATGGTGTAGAGAAGAAGAGCAGGGTGGTCCCGGATGAATTTATATCACCAGCACCTCCCAACAGCTTCCTCTGGGATGTCCATTGGGTGATTTGGTCACAGCTTGCTTGGAGGTCATGTGGGAGGTGGGCATGTAACTGCCAGAGGGTCTGGACACTCCCAGTGGTTTTGGTTTTTCCCAGGATTTGTCCGACTGGTGGAAGGGAAGAGCCGCTGCTCAGGACATGTGGAGATCCGTGATGGGGACCAGTGGAAAACTGTCTGTGACACACGCTTTGGTCCCAAAGCTGCTGACGTGATCTGCAGGGAGTTGCAGTGTGGCACAGCCCTGTCCATGACTGGGGGAGCTCACTATGAGGAAGTTGGTCCCATGTGGGACGGAGAGCTGCAGTGTGTGGGGAATGAATCCCTCCTCACCTCCTGCCCCAGGGGATACCCCAGGAACCAGTCCTGCACACACACAAGCGGTGTTGTTGTCACCTGCACAGGTAAGGACTCAGGGAAAGGTGTTGAAACACAAGGCTGTGCAGAGGGTGAAGAAGCAGAGCAGGGACCCTGCTGGACTGGTTGTGAGGACAGGAGGGGTGATAAGATTGCCTGCAGAATGACAATCAATCCACCCTCTCTCCTCCTTTTCTGTCCCCAGAGTACACAGGGTTCAGGCTGGTGAACGGCAGCACAATGTGTGCGGGGAGGGTGGAAGTCCAAGTGCTGGGGACCTGGGGGACCCTCTGTGCCTCCCGCTGGGATCTCTCGGATGCCCACGTTCTCTGCCATCAACTCAACTGTGGGTTTGCTGAGTCCATTCCCAGAGGAGAGCATTTTGGGAAAGAGACTGGCCCTGTCTGGAGAGACTCATTCCACTGTGATGGGACTGAAGCCCAGCTGGGACAGTGCCCTGTGACCGTCCTGGGGTCCTCACCGTGCTCCCAAGGCAACACTGCTGCTGTCATTTGCTCAGGTGAGCACTGGGAAACTGTGGCATCAAGTCCATCTGCCCTTCTATGGTCACCTAAAGTAGGGATCCCATGGCAGTACCAGGCTGAACTTCTCCCTGGAGAAACCTGGCTTCCCCATGAGCCATCTGGAGGACTTTGCCTCCTCAGACTGAGCTCTCTACTTTGGGAGATCTGAGGACTGACTGGAGGCAGGCATCAGCTTAAGCCATCACCAGACCTTGGCTCCTCTGTTCTTGTACTGTGGGACAAATCCAGGACAGGGCTGCAGGGCTCTGCTCTATCCCTCTGGCTGCAGACAACCACAACCCATCCCCACAGAGAGCCCTGCAGAGCCTCATCCCACCACCCAGGCCAGAGACCCCAGCAGCAGCAGA